ACTGAACTGTTATCACCAGTGAAGTGCCATCCAGTGAGTTTGGAAGAAATAAAGGAAAGATGCATAAAACTTAAGAAAAGGCTTTTTGTCGATGAAAAGGATGTTGATCGAATTGAAAAAGAGACAGTGGGTCAATCAGCAAATGAAAACTGGAATCTGCATCGAAAAATAAGAATAACTGCGTCAAAATGCCATCGAATTGCCACTTTGCAAGCAACTACCTCCCCAACAAAGGCCATTGAAGAGGTCTTACATTACAAGCAGATACCTCAAACAAGGGCAATGAAAGAGGGTTTGTCAAGGGAAGGTGCTGTTATTGCTGAATACATCAAATCAAAGAAACTGGACAATCAAAATGTAATAGTGCAACCATGTGGACTTTTCATCAGCAAATCTCATAATTACCTCGCCGCATCTCCAGATGGCTTAGTATACAATGCTGACTCCACTGAGCTAAATTCAAGTGGACTTGTTGAAATAAAAATTGTCTTCCTAAAGGAGAATGAGACTTTGTACCAAGCACTTGTCAGAAAAAGAATCTTTCTTCCTGGTTCAACGGATGGACACCTGGTCATCAACCAAAAACACAAGTATCACTATCAAGTGCAGCAACAGATGTTTGTTGCACAGAAATCATGGGTTGATCTGGTGGTAAAGGGAGTTAAAGATCTTCCAGACAGATCAATTGTAGACACTGATGGTGTTTTCATTTCAACAGTCAACTTTAATCGTGAATTCTGGACCTCAGTACTTCCAAAACTTGAGGCATTTTATAATGAGCACATTCTTGTAGAACTTGCTTATCCGCGTGTTAAATTTGGTCTTTCAAGATTAGACTTGAGAGGCTGTTGATGACATACATAATACTAATTTGCTAATCTTGTACGTTATTGAAGTTGCTTCAGGAACATTGTCACTTGTAACAATATAGGCAATTGTAACAGACCTTTTCCCGGCATTTGGGTATTGTATTTTGGTCTGTCCCAGCCTCAACAAGAAGCAATTGCTATTAATCATGGGTACAAATTCAGAAAATGTCTCTAAGAAAATGCCTCTAAGGTACATTAATCTAAAATGATATTCCAAACCCATTGTTTACTTTAATGAAATCTTTACTGTGGATGGCTTATTTAAAAGTGAAGGAATTCAAATATCCAGGACATAGTAACGATCAAAGTGTAAAGGAACAGTCTTTCATATTATTGGAGTTGAGAAAAATTTAGAGAGGTTATCATTCAATAAAATTCCAGTATCCACTTTGAAAAAATTATGTTTTTATCAAATCCATTTTGAGATCACTGGTTATCCTTGAAATCTGTTGGCTCTAAGCAGTGTGATTTATTCCTGAATCGCACTATTTTTGCTGTAAATCACTTCTTTTTCTCAGCTAATGAGAATGGGACAGTAAAATAAAACAATAAGATTTCCAGGTTAAAGTATCTAATTCAATTTCAGTAAAATGAAAGACTAAAAGCCATTTTGTGGCAAATTTTCCAACTATTATTGCCAAAACTTTGTTGTTGTGTTTTTCAAACAATCGACGAATTTAAAAAGTGAAATATCATTGCAATTTAATCAATGAGAGGTGGCAAAAAGTTTGTAAGTGCCCCTATGATTATAAACATGTCACTAGCAATAGGGGCCAATGTTATGGGAATCCTGCTGTCAAAAATATGCCAGTTTTTCATCCTCTCAATGCATCTCTCTACATGTATTCTTAGGCTAGCAACTTTTTTGTTGTGTGCCATTTCTTCCTCACTGAACTGAGTTTTTCCTTTAAGAAAAGAGGGTATGTTTACAGTTACCCCTTTGCAGCAAAGTCATCTTGTATGTCAAATCCTTTGTCTGCCATGACATCATCCCCATGGTGTAAGTAGTCAATCACATTGGACATTTTGGTGAGCTCCTTGTCACTTATGCTGCCAGTGTATAGCTCGCTTAAAAAATCCCAGGGCTCCAATAGGCGAAAGACCAACAAGTCCTTTCATAGTTGTTGTGCCCTTTGTATGAAGAATAACACACTGACTGCATGTCAAGTGATGAGGGGCTCTCTGCTCGAATTTCAACAGCATCGATTATTAGAACTGTTCTTGGATAAAGTTCCTTAAAAATTTTTGGCATGTGCTCATGTAAAAGCTCTCTCCTGGGAAGGCAAATTAAAGGCTCCAGTTCAATCCTCATAAACCGAACCCAAGTGTTAAATACAACAGACACAGTAGTTTCAGAAACATTGAATCTGTGGGCAAGATCCTTTTGTAACAAGCCAAGCCTAAGTCTCATCAGAGTCAACACAAACTCTTCAAATAATGTAAGTGCTCTAGGTCTACCTAGCTTTTGCTCGAGCCAATTCCTTTCTTTTCATAACTGCCATAGTTCAGGTTCTGTGCTTTCTGATTGACCATATCATAAAGAAGCATAAGTGCATCCCAGTGTGGAAGACCTGTGTAAAATTCAACATCTTCATCATTGCCCTTAAACTTTGAGATGTCAAATTTCGGATTTTTTACTAAATGTTGAAGTCTCTTTGTCGCGCTCGATAACTCGTCTCTCTCCCCTTGCTACCTTGTCCTTCTTCTCTATGATTTCTTTAAGTTCCGATTCAATTTGATCCAGTATTTCTACAGTGATTTCAGTTTGCGCCGCAGCATCGCAGAAAGAAGCTTGAATGGTTTCCTCATGATCAATGTCAAAAGAGGACCTTGGTCTATTTCGGTAGTAGAAACATCGGCTTTCCTTTTCTTACCTCCTACGTTTGTAGTCGATTCCGTCCGGGACAAAACCCGCCGCTCTGTTTTCTTTTTACCCAAGGAAATATCGATGGAAGGTGTTCTCTGCTGAGCTTTTTACCTCCGGTCCAGTGAGCAGAGCAAACGCGTGTGCTGTCGGACTCTAACTTTAAATTATCGTTCCGAAGTAAACGTATATATTCCCGGCGAACACTTTCTTTTTTGGGTATTCGATAAAACGTCATTCCAGTAGAGTTCCTGAAATTATTGGTGCACAAGGGCACACAACAACTCCTGTGTTTAGGCATAATTTAAGATGGCTGGCTTGAGCGTCCCCCCAAATAATCCCATAAGTGCTTGCGGCGCGACTTCGTTCCCAGGCTATCACTCTTTTCCAAAGTGAGCTATAAGCCCTGGGCTTATACAAGTTCGTAAGGGGTTTTGGGTGGGCTTATAAACGGGGGGGGTCTTATATCCGGATGGGCTTATAAGCGGACGACAAAAAACGTTTTGAAATGAGCAACATGACTGTTGATCGACGTATAATTTAAATTTATTACTCTTGCAATTGAAGCCTTAAAATAGCCTGTGTAGAGCCGCCCCTCCCCCCCAAAAAATTCCAATTTTTTTGAGGGGAGGGGCGGCTGTACACAGGCTACCTTAAAAGACAAAATTAAAACAAAATCAAAACTGTAACAGGGGCTTATATCAGGATGCGCTTATAATCGGATGTATTTTTTTGTTTGCATGTAGGTGGGTCTATAACCTGGGGAGCTGATAAGCGGATGGGCTTGTAAGCGGCAGTTTATGGTATAATCAGTTTATAAACACAACGACAATCTCTTCCTCTGTTATCATTGACTGAATCAGCGCTAAGGAGAAAATGGAGGAGGAGTTAATGTTAGTACAGCTGGGTAGTACCTCGGAGACGCAGAGATTAACACATGCATGTGGAACATAATATACCAAGCCCCAGTTGCTGAAAAAGTGGATAGCGGTATGCACGGGATAAATCGCTATCCATTGGATAGTGCAATTGGTGTCCGTAATAGTTATGGACTAGATAGTGATTTATCGGATGGATAGGGCTATGCAACGTATGAACAACTTGGGCCAAAGTTATATGCTTCTGATCTTACACTAGCGGAAGTTTTGAAAAGGTGTTCGTAAAACTACTAGATATTTGCGGAGAAACATTCCATAACATTCGTACCGAAACGAAACATCTTTTCTTTCCCACCTCACTTAAAAGTGAAATGATTGACGTGACGTAAGAACAAGATGAAGCATGCGTATGAAGTGCGCATGAGGTTTGACGTGAAGCGGAACTTTGGTTTATGGTTCCGATTTTAAGAGAAAAATTTTCCTTCATGTGGATAGAGTACCTATTTTGCTTTGGAGAAATGAGTTTTTTCCTGTGTAGATTTCGTAATAGTGGTAAGTTTGGACATTATTTAGTCGATAGTGTACTGAAAATAGAGAAAGAAAAGTTTGTGACGGTCCTTGCGCGAGGGTGGTACTCGCTACAATGGTTTACATGGGGACGCTCCGCTCCAAAAGGGTAGCTTTTTCAGCCTTCGGGTATATGAAAGGTTACGAATTTGACTTTTGAAGTTTGTGAAAACGTAGGGAAATCTGTCATACGTGGAACCGATGAATTTCATGGTTTTATAAAGTTGCGAAAACGTTCTATTTTTGTCATGGATTCCTATTGAAATGACAGTGCATTTACAGCAGGTAAAAAGGGTGCAAAGTTCCAAGCAAGGTATGTGAAAGGAGTACCATTTTTGTGTAAAAATTGTATCTGTACGGGCTTGGAGGTAGGGGCCGAGTGTCCCTGTATGGAAATTTGTTGCGTGACCCCCTCCCCCCTCCTTCCCTTTGGTGGCGATTTGAATGAGGGTATGCCAAAATAAACTTTGCAATTTACAGGAAAAAACTTTAGAAAAAAATTAAGAAAACCACAGTATAGTTCATAGCATTAGAAGTTTATACTGGGAACATGTTTGTGAATTGGGCTGTAAAACAGTTGTAGAAGATTACGTGATTATTTGTGTTATGTATCAGGGCATTTGGTGACTAATAATATAAATTATAAGAACCAATTAAAAAATTTCTGAAGTAGAAAAGTTTGAAGTTTGAAAATGTTGACAATTAAATTTCAGATATTGTTGTATTGTATATAAATGTTGTGTGGATAATCACCATTCAATTCAAAGTACAGCCCATTAACCCCCTGGACTTTCCACGGAATGTAATATTTCTGCAGTGTTACATTTGATTTTTCGTGGACCCCTTGGGGGAAACTTTACTGTTACAATTGCCACCACTATGGCCCTATTGTGTATCTTTAAGATTTTCATAACTTGGTGTTCATAGTAATTAATATTATTTCGTATTGGTGAAAAAATGCTACAATCAGTAGTAAAATATTGCTTTATTGATTTGCGGCACACAGAAGAAGCAAAAGCAGGTCAAAAATTGTTGATGACATATATCGAATGGGAAAATTGGCGAAATTGTGAGGGATGCAGAGCCAAAACATTCATAAGTGACTCAATTTGCTACGATAACAAATTTAGGAATTATAATAGGTGATACTTTCTCTGAAGGGATTTTACCGCTTAAGAAATGAATAATGCGGGCAGAAATTATTTTGCTTGCATTAATTTGTTTCAAGTTATCAATGTGTCCAAAATACACTAGATCTGTTTACAGGTGTATTATCAGAGAGTGTTAGATTTGCTGAAGTGATTGTGGGATGAAGCAATAATTGCAACAGTTACACTTGTTTGCTTGTTTTAAATCTGTTCAGTGATGAGCACCATTGATGTTGGTAGGAGTAATAAAACTTCCTTTGTAATGCACTACGTAACCTGTAGATATTAAGAAAAGATGGCCAAATGAAAACAAAATTCTGTTCAAGGGTACATGATGCAGTTAAAACAGGAATGATTGGAACAATGTTGCAGTGACGAAAAGGACATTTTTGATGCTTTGGTGCATTCCTACTTTGTCATGGGTGGTGTTACAGGTCTTGCAAAAATGTCCATAAATTTGACAAATTGTTAGTGCTTGTGTTCTCCATGGGAAATAGACTTTTACAAAAGCATAATCTCGTGGCTTTGTTGCTCTTACTTCCTTGCTACAGGGCTTGAAGTATTGGTGATTAAAGGGACTGTGTCACGGCAGTCCAGTTTATTTTGTTTAATTTTGCCAATTACTTGCCCTCAATCACCATGGAACTTAAAGTAACCAAAGAAATTATATGTAAATTACAAAATCAGCGCTGCGAGACAAACAAATGAATATCTCTCCTGAGCATTATTTTTGAATTTGCAAGAAGCAGGGGCAAAGTTTGAGAAGCTGTTAGGCTGAACAGTTTTGAAAAACCCGAATTTCAATCCGCTTCAATCTTGTTCAGTTTTGCCCATCTGTGGCATCTGTTGTTTCTGTTATGTTATTTTAACCTTCCTTTTAAGCAGTTATTTTTATGTTTCTGTTAATGTAACGGGCATTTTGTAATGTCCTAATTTTGCTGAATTTTGTGAGACAGCTCCTTTAATTTAGATAATCTGTGAGTGACAAAAATATCTAGTAGCAAACATTTGTCTATTAAAATCATCCTTGTCTTTGAAACAAAGGGAAACAATTTGCTAGTGGTCTGATCAGTTTTCTAATGAAAAAAAATATTACTAGCAAAAGCTGCAAGTGTACGAAAAAGTGAACTTCAAACCCTCCGCTATGTCCTGCGGGTTGGGGAGGTGGTGATTTTAATTGAGTGGTGGATAGGGAAGATATTTATTTAGTATTACCTTGTGTCCACATCTTGTGCAACCGCGTTTGTATCTGTATAGTAGTAGAAATAGAAAATACTTTATTTGGTTAGCAAGAGTGAAAAGTGACAGTTTTTGTGAGTGGTCATATGCAAATGCATATAAACAAGAAAGTTGAAGTGGATGGAAATTTCCTTTATCCGTAAATGGTATGAAATAATATTATTCATTAACAACTATATGATTGGATAATTCAATTGTAGAGTTTTGATTGGCTTAGCAATGATTCTATGAGAAGGACAAATGCTACCTGTAATGAAGGTGAAAAGGAGGACAAGTTGAAAAGATGTGAGCAGGAACAAGTACAACAGTTTCTTGATAAGTAGTGTAATTTGGAAGTTTCAGGATGTCATGTAAAACAATAATTATTGCAAAGATTTGGCACCATTAATTTTGAGAAAGTAGTTTTCCCGGCACCTGCCCAATTGGTTGGAAATTACTGGTTTAAAACTACCCTCCCCCTTAGAATTTCCAATGATCTTTTGCCACAGGTGTGGTAAAAATATGTTTTGGAACAAGACATTTTGTATGAGTAATCAAGGTTGGAAGATATAGTGAATTGGAAATACCATACATTGTCTATTAAACCCCCTCCCTTTAATAAGGCGCCCCCTCCCTTTCAGGAAGAGAAAGTTAATAAGGTGGCCTGTGTATTATATCAGTCTCTTCTTTAGCTGTGCTAAATATTCGTGGCTAATAAATGATAATAGACTGTATTAATCAGTCACTACTGTAAAACATCGTGTGGACTGATGTGTCATGGTTTGTTTAGGAATTGCAAGTTTGAATTTAATTGTGATTCTTGCATTACATGACCTCTATTCTTCTTGTACTTGAGCATTTCCACCTTGTGTCCTAGTTGTTTATGGACAAGTGATGTGATTGCCTTTTCGAAATGAAATAAGCCCCCTCTCAAATAAGCCCCCCTCTCATCAAATGGGCTTG